AGAGACTGAGCAAGGATAGAGATGGTCAGGGAAGGAGGACATAGTGCCAGGAATGAAAACGGTGAGGTGGAGGTCAGGAAATAAACAAAAGGAACCTGGGAGGATGTCAGAGCTCCTAGAATTGTGATAAGCCAGAAGCCGAGGAGCTTTTGGGATTTGTAGATACTGACAGAGTAGCTCAGGTGCCCTCATAGCCAGAGTGCCAGGACAGACCACCGGTCTCCAGAAAATGAGTCAGAATGTGTCGGGCCTCCACGATGCTGTGTTCTATGCCCGCCCACTATTGCGTCCTGTCAGTCAGTAGTCATGTCACCACATTGAAGTCTCAGAGATCAAATTGTTTACTTGAGATCAATCACACACCCTGATTCTGTAGATGCTGGTGCTGAGATTCCATCCTTAATCTAGGTAGAGATTTTCTCAGCACTGAGGTAGATCTGGCCTCAGAGAGGAGATTTTTGTTTTCAACCTGATATATCAGGTGATGGTGGCTGGTCTCTTCTTTGGGGTTGCAAGTCTGCACAGGTGCTATCTGTAAGACACTGATGTATCCCAGAGAAGCCCTGGACTGTGAAAGCATGGGTGTTCTTGCTTTTCTTTCCTGTAGCCAGTAGTGCAGGGCTCCAGGGTAGACCACCTTCTCCCTCATGGATGTTTCTGCCATTCTGCAGGATAAATGCATTCTTTCGTTCTATAGAAAGAGAGAAAATAGTAGAAAATGAGTAGGTCGATGGTCCGGGGACATCCTTATCTGGGAATTCTATGGATCACCTAGACTAATAATAAGAGAATGAGTCTGGAGTGAGATTGAAAATTTATCCTGATCTTGGGCACATTATTTCTTCTCCCTGAGCCTCGGTGTCCTCATCTCTAATATGGGGACAATAATAGTTGCCCCCTCATGAATCTATGTTAGGATTAAAGGAGTAGGTCCTGTAGGAAGAATAGGTGAGTACCTGACAGAGGGCCCATCTTCAGATATAGTAGATGCAATCCTCCAGGTGCCAATGACCATATGGTCAATGCTGGTAACCTACAGCTACCCATTTCCACATTAGCAAAAAGTAATTTTTTCATATTAACCTGGGAAGGTTTCACTTCCAGAAGAATTTTTATTGGCTGCCAGGAGGACGGCAGCACTCTTTTAAGAAATTGCTTACGAGGCAGGGAAGTGAATGAATGCTCTTGGCTGCTGTGATGGGAGAAATGAGCTGCTTTGCACCTCGGACTGGTGGAACCATAGACCAAGCGCCAAGAATGAAGCTAGTAAGGGGAGAAGTGGAGGGAGAAAGGAGAAAGGGTAGAGTGAGATGGAGACTCATGGGCCAGAGGCAGAACCAGAATCTCAGCCTCAAGTAGGAAAAAGTTCATGAATCAGCACGAAAAGTTCCCCTGAAGGTTATTATGTGAGGCCCCCTGGAACAGTTTATCACTCAGATGTGACATTTTAATAGGATTAAAAGAAGCCTTGATCAAGTGGAGCCAGATGGGGGTCAGGGTTGGGGACAGCCCTAAACTCCAACTTCTTAAGTGAGGTGAAGAAAATGTATATGAATTCTCTAAAAAGCCTCCACAGGCAGCAATTGCAAATCGTGTGTAGTTCTAATGAGGCAGCATTTTACTTTGGCAAACACTATCAGCCCTGTGTCTCCAAAGCCCAGTGGTATTTGACTGCTTAGCTTTTGAACTCCAAGAAGTGTCACAGCCATCTCCAGTAATCACAGGGGATTTCAGATCACCAATGGGTTTATACAAGAAACATCTTAGCACATGGCTTAAGAAAACCTCACACACTAATTATGTGCTGGAAAAGGTCACTGGGTGGAATTTCCTTAAGAAGGATTCCAGTGCTTCATACAGAGAGGCCAGCAGGCTGAGGCCATTTGGATATCCTGCTTTTTTGTGTGTGCAATTTCCATGGAAAAATGGTGAAGAATTCTGTAGCCGTTAAGTGCGTGTGAGTTTGGAATGCTTCTACTGCTAGCAGTAGGGCTTGTGTACAGAAAGGTCTAAAGGAGTGATGTAGGTGGAAAAGGGGGGCAGATTTTGAAGATTTCAAAAGAACGAATTCATTCATTCTTGGTGTGCATGTGAGGTGTCTTTGAAGTTGTGAATCCTTGGACTGAAATTTTAAATTCATCTCACTGTGGCTTTTGGAAACAAGAGCACCAAATCTCTGTCACCCATGTTTATACTGGGGTGAAAGAGAATTCTGTTCTTCAGTGTTTGGATTTGAGAGGGTGAGCTCTCATTGGAGAGGTTCGTGTCACTTTTCAGAATCCTACACAGGATGCAGCAGTGCTCCAATAATTACCAGGTTGCCCAAGATCATGAAGGCCATGCATCAGGTGCCTGATGTATTGGCAGGCAGCAATTCTTTATGTGCCTGTGGCTAAGGCAGTCTAAGTTGGTAAGCAGAATGGGTAGTGGCAGGTTGTATTTTTTTGTTGTTGTTGTTCTAGGGGATGTGCAGAGGTGACAGGGAAATGGCTATAGAGGATCTGAGGCGGGCAGATTCTGAGTCAGAGCTATGACCTTTGCTGGAGCCCATTACCATTGAAGCTGTTTACAAAATATCATTAAGCTTCCCACTCACTATATATGAAGGTATCTTTTAGGGGTCCTATTCCTACCAGGAGAGGACTTCTTAGATCCAAGGCCCAAAGTTCTGAGTGCCCTGGAAACTGACTTCCAGCGTTTAGCATGGCATTCTCCCTGTCCATCCAATCATGCGTCTTCCCTCTCCTACTGTTGACAAAACAGTGATTGATCACCTATTGGGTACTTCTCTCTTTATCATATTGGTTGCTTTATTCCTGGTTGTGATTTTTTCTAGGATGGAGAATGAAGGTCTTGATGCTTGATCCTGTGGAGAGTTTTTCTATTACTTGCAGAGTCTATGGAGTATAGAACATGATGCAGTCATATGAGCTAGTTGTCAAATACTTCTAGCTTTCTCTCTCCTGGGTATATCTGTGGCCTGCATATCCTGGCCTCCTTGTGGTTAAGAGGGGCCATTTAAGTAGATCTGGCCAATAAGTTGTGGGCCAAGTTACATGTGTCACTTTTTTGAGTTAGAATCTTTCACTGCTAATGTGTGACCTTCCAGAGCTCTTCCTTCCCTCTGGGAAGTGCTCCAGATGGGGACTTAACTACGATAAACAGAGCTTTTCTGCTGTCTTCTGGTAAGAAACCTGCATTTCATTCACTTAGATTTGGAGCTACTTGTCTTTGCAGCAAATGCTGGCCAGTCCTGGCCAATTTAGGCACTTATGTTTTATGAGAATTCATAGTCTTCTTTCTGTGTTAGGGAGGATTCTGCTATAATTTATAGGTTTCAGAAAGACTAGACTACTTCAGAATTTGCCACCTCCTCAGAGGCTGTGACCTTGCAATACCTACATGAAGCCATGTGACTTAGGGAAAAATCACTCTTTCTGAATGTTTGAACTCTAAATGAAAGGTTGGATGAGAAGACCTGAGGGGTCATGGCTGATTGTCCAGCAATTAACTTAAATAAGTGCGTTTCTTAGGCACCAATCCTGGTAAGGTGAACAGAAGAGTTTGGGAATCTTATCTCTAAGACTGTAAATAATTCTGCCCTCTTTTCATTCTGACTTGAAGATCTTTCCTGTATTGTTCCTTCTGCCTTCTTGGTCTTAGGGAGCTCACCTGTCATTTCCCAGGGAGGCATCCTTGACATCCCAAGTAAAACAAATCACTCACTCCTTTCATTTTCACCAAGCCCCTTCACAGTGTTTGCAAAGGACACATCCATTGATTATTTATTGTTGATTGTTAGACTTCCCTTTAGAGAATGAACTGAACCAGGGCAAAGAGCTTGTCATTTTCATTCATGCCTCTGTCCCCAGTGCTGACAATTGAACCTGGCATATCTTGGCTGGCAGTTAATGAGGATTGAATTAATACCTCCTGGGTTAGAGGCTGTCTAACCTGAAGGAAGTAGCAGCCCAAGCTACCCATGAGTAGCCCCGTTGTCACAGGAAACAAGATGCCACCTATGTGCCTGTCCTCTGGACATGGAGTACATACAAGGCCTAGTTTTTTGGGAGCTTAACTATACTTGGGAAATCAAACTCCTAGAATTCCTGTCAAGGTACAGTTTGGGTATTTGCCAGCAGCAAATGCACAATCTGCCTGTTAGGAGCAGAGCAGCAGATGGGAGGAAGTGCTGCTTTTAGACCTTAGGAGGACGGGTACCCTATGTGGTTCTCTGCCTCCAGCTGCAGAGGAGGTCAAGAGTGAATGCTGCTTTATCTATTTGCTTAGAATGATTACAATACTCAGAAGGAGGAGTCTTTTTATTTTTTATTTATTTTTTATTAGTTACACATGACAGTACAATGATCTTGACAATTCATACATTTGAATCAAATGGGGTATAATTTCTTATTTTTCTGATTGTACAGGTTGCAGAATCATATTGGTCATACAGTCACCCATATACATACAGCAAAAATAATGTCTATTTTATTCTGCTGTCCTTCCTATCTCCCCCTCCCCTCCCCTCCCCTCCCATCACTTCTCTCTACCCAATCTAATGTGACACACTTCTTTTTTTTCTCCTCACAACATCATACATGTATTATGTATAATGATGAGAGTCTCCTTCCATCTTCCGTGCAAATCCCCTTTTCCCTCCTTTTCCCTCCCACCTCTCTTCCCTATTTAGTGGTAATCTTCTTCTCATGCTCTTCCTCCCTACCCCATTTTGTCTTTAAAGAAATAGTTCTGTTCCCCAAACACCCATTGTATACACTTTGCAGTGAGTTTACAAGAGAGCAGGCACACATCTGTGTCTAAAATCTCAGTCTTCTTTTTATTATCTATTATTCCTTTTTTATACAGGTGTTAATTTTAGCAGCCAGAAAATGAAATAAAACCATGACAACAGAATTTCTTTCCTTCCTTCTTTCTTTTCCATCTCTTTCTTTCTTTCTTTCTTTCTTTCTTTCTTTCTTTCTTTCTTTCTTTCTTTCTTTTTCTTCAAATAAATCCAAATTGCTTTTCAATTGGTCAGAAAGGGTCAATTCGGAATCTGGCAGGTCTGCTTTCTTCTCTCACTTTCAGCTGGCATGAAATAAAGAAGTTAGAACACAAACACGTGATTTTTAGAGTCTTTGACGTTTTAAAAAAATACCATTCATTGTCAAACACCTGGCCTCCTGGGTATCAAAAATATACCCCTTCAAACCTACGTATGCCAGGCAACAAGCAAGCTAAGCATCTTGGGAGCCAACTAAATTGACCAGGTATGTTGGCATGGCCTACAAGCATCTAAAAAGCCAGTAAATCCAAATATATGATTCAGAAATTAGGATTCATAAATTATAAACATATGTCATTCATGCGTAATGTGTTTTTCATTTTCTTCCTCCAAAAGAACAAAGGGAATGGCCTACCTACCGATCCCACCCCTTACATACCCAAGCTATGTCTAGCTGAGTTAGAGAACTTATCACCAGGCAGGGGACTGCTGGTGGGATGGCCAGCCAGTCTGTCCAGGCTGCTGTCGACTTGGTGCAAAGCACTGGGTTTAACACACTGTCATCACAGTGTATTCAGGCCCTACTTTTGGCAAAGCAGCAAATTGCTCTTTTGTGGGAGCCGGGGAAGTCACAATTGGTTGCTGTTTCTGGATGGACACATAAAGAGGCAGGGTGGCCTCTTTTCCCCTGAGCTGAGGACAAGAATTTGGGAGCTTTGCCTCCTGTCTCTAGTTCTCTTTCTAACGGCTCTCCCTGAGTCAGTGAGCCAAACCCTCCATGACTCAGCTCCTTCCTTTGCAAATTGGGGATGGTGAGATTTATTCAAGTGCTGTGAGGCATGCTTGAAAAGGCTTTTGAAAATGCTAGCTCATGTCAAATGATTGGCTATATTCTATGGTTTGAGAACGAGCACAAAGGTTGGGGAATTTCCCTTTCTTGGGTAGGGGTATGTGTATTTCTGTGTTGAAGGTATGGCTGGCCTGCACTTTCCTCTTGAGACCTGCACTCCATAGCAGGCTACTAAGAAGTAGTACCGTCTCCTGTTTCCTATAAAAAGTCAGTCTAACTTTTGAACAGATAGTTTACACAAAAGGAAATGTATAAAGTGAAATATCACATAGAAGAAATGTTTGGCCTTGAAAATAATTGAGGAAATGAAAATGAAAACATCTGGGGTTAGCAGAAATAGCTACAACTGATCAGCCCCCATGGACTAATGGGGCACATGCCCATTAATTTCTTGGTCAATGGCTTTCTATTGTTCTAGTCTTCTTGAGCAGTGATCTGCCATGGTGAAAGAGGAATTATACACTTATTCTGAAAAAAAGATATGATCTGAAATGGGAAAAAGAGAAAATTATTTAAAAATGTCCATAGCAGTGAGGCAGACTGATGGATACATCAAAAATGGAACAATCACCCACATGACAATCAGTAGAATAATGTTTGAGTGAGTTCTGGCTCTTCATTATTGTGGGATATTATATATTGGGAAGTCTCACCATAAGGGGCAGAAATGAAGGGGTTTACTTAAGTACTACTGATATCATTGGTAGAAGGTAATCACTTTCCTAAGGTATATGGGGACACAAAAATTACTATTATATGCCATTATTGAAATGTTGCATTTAAATTTGTGGAAGGACATGATACATGTGATATACTATTTATTGAAAAAATATTTTGTACACAGTAATTAGAATTTTGTAAAAAGACATTTCTGTATCATTAGGGCTCACCAAAATGTATTCAGAATGATGTACAATGATATAAATTTGCTTCAATAATAAAAACATGAAGTTTTATAATAAGATAGTAACAAAGCAAACAGAGCAAGCAACAAAACAAGCCCTAACAATTTCCCAGAGTATGTCTCCAGGTAGAAGTATGGATCTTTGCTTCTTTTCTCCACCAACATTTGGCATACTATTCTGCACACAGTAAGTGATCACTGTACGTCAGCTGAATCATATGCTTGAGTCATATTCAATTACATTAGGAACAGGCTTTCTGCCAATGAATCGTGTGAATATATTGACAGGGCAATATGTAATAATTTCTGTCCCTGTCTTCCCTACCTGTTGGCTTGAGTCAGGGTTGATTCACATATATCCAGAGGATTCTTAAATGACCTCAATGCCAGGAGCGAAAAGTAAGATTTTAGGAAGGAAGGAAGGAAAGAAGGAAGGAAATAAAGAGGAAGAAAGGAAGGATGGGTGGATGGTGGATCTGGATGATTTTAGTGACAAGCCCTATATTTGCAATTCAAATTATACAGTCTATAGAGCTGAATAGATGTCTCCCAGTACGCCTTGTCCTGCCAAGACAATAACGAGGACTGAGTGAGATTGCCTTGTCATGATAGGCCTTAGATGCCTGATGGTGACCCATGGAGGGGGCAGGGGGCAGATCCATGCAAGAGTCTAATTGCTTAATTGAAACAGACTTCTGATTTTTTCATATCCTCATATATTAAGCAGAAGTTTTCCCTGAAAAAGTATCAGTCCTTCTTAAGGCAGAACATAAGATGACTATGGAGTCACTTTAGGGGAGAGGTAGACACTTTTTCCACAACTCTCAAAGATGACACAAATGTCCTGGTTTGGAGGGGAAGGGGTTTCTGAACACAGCATGATTAAGGGCTAAAGCTCCTATGGCACTGGGGTCAGGTGGGTGTTTTCTTGGGGATAATGTGATCGTGTGTGTGAGTGTGTATGTGTGTGTGATTGTGGTGTATGATTGTGTGTATGTGAACTGAAAGCTCGCATGGGGAGCCCAGACTACAATGACATAAAGAGAGCTGTGTGTAACATACAGGGAGAGATTTTCTTCATTGACTAGAAACCCGGAGCTCTTCATTTTCATCAGCAGAGAGGGAGTCTTAGGCCAGGTTCACTGGAAAACCACCCAAGGCAAAAGTTTATAAGCTTTATGAGAAGAAAGTCACTCATTTTTTTAAAAGGAAGCTTGGAATCATTCAATTAGAATAGGTAAAGAGGTGTGACCTAACTTTTATATCCCAACATAGTGAAAAGGGACCAAGATTTACATCATCCATGTGTCTTGATCAAATTATTAGGTATGCATTAATTCTTTTGTAAAGATAAAAAGAAGTAATCCAGACAGTGGAAGAATAAAGGAAAGAGGACTTAGTATTTAAAGGTTCCTTGGCAGCAATTTTGTTAAGTCTGTACAAATAGAATGGCAGGAATGATTTTATAATTATAACTTGATAGGGCTCCACAAATGTATTGAAACTACATTCCAAGTTACTATTTTATTTATTTATGGTACTGGGGATTGAACCCAGGAAATCTTTACCACTGAGCTACATGTCCAGTCTTTTTTATTTCATTATTTTTGTTTTGAGACAGGGTCTCTTTAAGTTGCCCAGGTTGGCCTTTAACTTGCAATCCTCCTCTCAGCCTCCCATGTTGCTGGGATTACAGGTGCGTACAACTGTGCCTGGTCCAAGTACTCAGTTTTTAGAAGCATGTGGAATATACCTCAGTCAAAAGCACTGAAATTCACTCTTCCTTATCTGTGAAGTACAGTTCATATGTACCATGCTGGCTGTAGGAAATCTGAAGGATAAAAATATCATATTGTATGTACAGGAATTTTATTCCCACAATCACCAATAAATACTTAGTAAGTACTAAAATGAGTTTTAAGTGGCCTTTGGTTTAGGCTCAACCTAGGGTTTTTGTCTTGATGTTATGTATTTTTAAACTTTGAGGTTAGATTCAATCAATGAACTCCCCATTTAGAACAGCTGGCATTGCATCCACCAGCACTGTCAATTAAATATAAGATAGTAAAATTAAATTCTCATAATGTCAAATACTTAATGTCTTGGGGACTTGGTTTGTCTTCAGGGTGTATAATACTACAAGAACATCTTATTCATAATCTGTTTAACTGGCCTAATTATCCTGGTGAATTTATAGATATGGGTACTTGAGAGGGTGATAGTAGTAGGCCACAACATGAATTATTGATTTAAAATGGATATTGATTACAACTCCATCAATGAAGAACAAGAAAATATGTCTTTGTGCATGTAAAAGGGGTTTAATATTATTTAGAGATGGACTAATAAGTCTAACAAATTGCTGCTTTGTTTGTTTATTTGTTTGTTTTGTTATTTCTATGTTTATATGCCAGGACAAGATTGGCACTTATTTTCTTAGTATCCTGTGGCATTCATCATAGTCTACTTCTTATCGATGTTTTTCACTTTATATCACTTATTTTTTTCACCTATATTTTAATCTGGTTTGAGGTCAGTGGCTATTTGTTCTATCCCTCGCAGGGTCTTGAACTTAAAAATTCATTTTTCTTGATTACATAAGACCTAAAATTTCTGCTAAATTATCCAGGGTTAGCTAAGGATATATTTTAATTGCTTCAGAACTCTGGAGCTTTTCAAAATCATTCTGACACCTTGCCTTGAATCATACTTCAACAAAGTTTCTTATAAATTATTTCCAGACAGGTTAACTTTTTCGAAGGTCAGGTGTGAGGAGTTACCTGGGAGTAGCTTTGGCATAGGACTTCTCAGAGACATGACTGACATGTCGCTAGTGTGCCCTGCCACAAAGCCCATTCACTGACTGTCTGTAAATGTCCATGACCTATGAGGGGACCATAATCATGAACATGCTTGCTTCTCCTAAGCAGACTTCTTCATTTACTTGGCAAACCCGATTCATGTGCTACCCTTGAAATCAAGGCTGAGTGCACAGAACTGACAGGAAATCATTGAGAGATGCTTCTGGAAAGGACAACAGACATCCAAATTCTCAGAGCCAATTTTAGATTAAGAAGTAGCACTTTTTATTTGGGCCTGCATATTCAGCATCCAAGTTTCTGTTGGGGGATCAAACTCCTAAGAACTCTCTATGTCAGTCACTTTCCAAAGTCATGGCAACAAACCAGGCTTAGCAGACAGACATGCACTGGGAGTCAGACTGAAGACCAAATAGTTTTAATATATTCTGAGGCGTCATTTTGGTTGGTTCTTTTTTTTTTTTTTTTTTGATTGTTGGGAGCCATGAGTCCTCAGATATTCAGCTGAGCCTTGAAGGTGGTGATGTTTGAATCAAGGTGGGCCTAGTGGTCACCCCTTAACCCAGTGGAAACTGTTTTGTTTTGTTTTTTCCTTCTTGCTGTATTGCTGAAGCTGGCCTCACACTTGCTATCACCCTGCTTCAGCCTCCTGAAAAGCTGGGATCCTAGGAGTGCAGTACCGTGCTAGACTTACCCAGTGGAGTCTTGAATGTAACCCAGGTGGAGAACTGTGTTACTGACATATGCAACTTTAGTTCTGCTTATAGCCTGGGAGGTTATACTTTTTCTCCTCATTTCTAAATTCTGGACTCAGATGGCATTTCTCCATTTTCGTGCCTCCTGGGGAGGTGATGCAGGGTTGTGTGTGACCCCATGGTATTGCTTTTTTTCTTTGACTCTTGAATCTCCGCACATTTTCTAGGATATCCCAATGAGTCTAACTGGCCTAATACTACTTCCCTGAATTTTGACAAAATATTT